AGGGCTTCTAAATTGTCTCTAGGTCCAAGGTCCAGAGACAAAAAGTTCGAAGTATATAGGATATTTCCTCGACGAATTGCATGTCCCGAGGGTGTGCAATTCAACTTCAGAGGGAATGTTGGGAATCTTTTGTAGGTGAAACACAAGCACAAACAGATCAGAACTCGACACGTCACTAAACAGTTGCAGGACACCCGAGAGAATGCCAGTGAACAACTGGCGGGGAAAAGCTTCACGTCCTCGATTCCCAGTTTATATAGGATCCGTAGCCGATTAATAGCGTTCCGACTGGTTTAGATCTTCCTTTCTCGCTTCTAAATGGGTTACCACTCTTCTCAGGCGTAACAAGACTCGAATTAGGACACGAGAAAGTCCTAGTACAATTTGATATCTTGTCTCGACTTCACTCGAGAATTGTTTATGGAACCTTAGCCCCTTATTTTAAGCTATTGTGTTTTGATATGAAATCGCGAATTTTAAAGATTCCCTTATGAAGTTTTTCCTTCCACTAATTTATAATTCTTAATTACAGAATTATTTTATAATTTTGAAAATAATTTCCATGTTACGTTTGCATTCTTTTAATTTTTAAGTATGTTTTGGGGTTTCAGATCCAATCTGGAATCTCAAAAAACAATGTAAAATGAATTTAGGTTTTAACAATGCAACACTTGGGCAATCTGCTTCTGGGGGATGCCTTTCAGGAGGTCTTTTTAAGGGTAACTGGCCCCTATTCAGGTATTACAGATGTGGAGAAAACCTAGAAAACTCCACGTGGTCAGCCTCGCACAAACCCAGGACCAAACTCCCAGTGTCAAGGGAACAGAACCGCTTGGTCACTGGTGGGCCTTCATTTTACATTAATTCAATGGTTGTCAGTATAACTTAATGAGCAGCGATGCTTATATAATATCAAACTGATCTGCTAGTTGTCAGAGTGCTTTTAGAACAGTGTCCTAATTAATTTCTTTTCTGTGTATATGGTCAATAAATTTCTACAATCTGTACATCAGAGGTCCCTAAAGTGGTCAATACACTCTGAAGAGTTGGTTGACTTTTGGTATTTAAATACTGTATTACAACAATATATCCAAAGCTTAGTGTAGCAGTGAAGCCATTTTTACTTATTTTCCCAAAGTTTGCATGTGGTTAAGTTGATTTGTGTAATGCAAAATAATTAGCAAATTGAACCTCAAAGAACATAGTGATTTAAGACTAAAACTTGCTAAAACTAATTGCCATCAAAACTTCAATAGCCTTGTTAGTGCTCAAACCACATCCATCTTACTAATGATGTTGGACAACTCAATGGAGAGTAGTTTTATTTGTTAGAGTTTTAATATATCTACATTAATTATATCGGTTTAAGTGCTTTATTTTTCATATATTATTTTACTATATTTATTTTTCTTAAGGATTGATGAAGGATTGTGAATTCTTAAAAGGATTACAATCAAAAAGTTTGGAGAGCTATGTTCCACATCTTCCCAATAACAGAGAACTTGTGTAATATTACCTACAAATTGAAATGTTATGCATTAATCATTTAAATTATTAAATATATTTAATATTTTTTTTTATTGCAATTGTTTTAGTTAAAAATATTTACCTTCATTGCTGAACAAGTCATTCTAAAATAAACCTGAAAATCATGGAGTGTTAATTTGAAACATGTTCAAAATAATATACTCCACAGAACCACTTTTTCATGTTTGATCAAATATGCAAATTCTAATGCATCATCACATGCTTTATTCTGACATTTAATGATCAAAGTTATTGGTAGCAATGAATATTTGCCAATATTTATTAAACAGACAAGCTTTAATGTGATCCCGAAGCTCCTCCATATTGCTTTTCTAGTCAAAAACATTATCACTAGCTGGTAAGTGAACCAAGAACTCAAGCTGGCCAAATGAACTCTTCTCTGATAACATATGTTTTTGATTTCAATCCAAATCCAGAAAGATTTTTCAGTTTAATGTTTTTCAGTTTAATGTTTCCAACCTTAACTAACATTGATTTTTGTTATTTACTGAATATGCATTTTTGGATAATTTTTCACATTTTGTTTTACTATAATTAACTGAAGTGTGTAACTTCTTGTTAAGTGTAAAAAATGTAAACCCAGAAATATTCAAATATTTATTTTGTTTCTTATAATAAAAAACACGGAAAATATTTATATTCATCAGATTCGTCCTACTTTTTCTTCTTCATCCCGATTTTGGTCTTTAAAAATCTGATAATGCTAGTCTTGAACAATACACTAATCATTAAAATAAGATAATTAGTTTACCTTTCTAAAATAAAAATAATTCTGTATATTTTTTTATCAAGTTGTAAATCTAATGATGAAAATATAAAGTTTAAAACATTTTATTAATAGATTAATACATTGTACTATGAAAATAAATAATAAAATATGATGATTTTAATGAGCAAAATAAAACAAAAAATTATGTTTATTAAAATATGCATTTTTATTCACATTTAATTACAGAGCAAGCAAAAACTTATTTACAAAACAAATACAGTTTAAAGATGTCATTTTAGTACAAAACAGTATAAAAAAAATTAAATTAATTGCACTGCCATTACATATGAAACTGAGAATTTAATGATTACAGTTTATCAAGAAACAAATACTGATACTGAGATAAAATGCCAGTAACATGTCTACTTTTATTGTAATATTTACAATACAAAACATGTTAAAATTAGCAGTCTATCAATCTATTCGAAAACAATTATGGTTATCAGAAAATTTTGAGGTTTTCTTTTTTTAAAGTCTTTGATAAAGCCAATCATTGAAATTCTAAAAAAAGAAAACGTTCATATGGATATATAAAATATGTCTCAGAAAATCTTTCTCTCAGTATTTNTGCAAACATTGTATCTGCAAAGCATATTCTGGTACACCTGCTTAAAAATGCCTAATGTGTGTTGAATTTCTTGTGCTGAAACCATAATTCATGCAAACAGATCTTTCTTCAACTCTACAAGGGTCTTATTTATAAGACTCTTCATGTAGCCAAAAAAAAAAAAGTCAAATGGAAGTAAAAATTTACTGTATTCACTTAAAAAGTATTTATTATAATGAAAATAAAAGATTATGATAAAAAATATACATTTTTAATCTTTTTGGATGAATCAAATTCCAGAAGTGATGTCACTGAACTTTAAACAGCCATAAGTCCTTAATATAGGTTTTATTCAAAAAATTTACTGAACATTTTATCTTATTTTTTCTTAATGAATCTATTCTATAAGTTGGTAACAAGAATTTTGAAACACCCTGTATATGTATATATACAATATGCTAACTCTGAGTTAAATTTTATTATGTTTAATAGAAAAATGCTGAAAAGAAAGAGTTAAGTTGTGGTTGGTCATTTATGAGATTATTGGATGACTCTGGAATTCCTGTACATAATAAGTAAGTTATTATATTAGTTTCAGAATATATATTTAAACTGACAATAATTTAACACGTAATTTTTCTATTATTAATTTATATTGTATGTGGATTTTTATTCTTTGCTATTTTCTGAAGTTTAACTCTTGTGAAAGTAAGGGACCGTCCATTAATTACTTGTATAGCTGAAGGGAAGGAGAAGGGTCCGAAAAGTATGTTATTGTACTGTAGGTAATGGGGAGGAGAGGGTCGAGGCATTGTCTACGTGAACTTTTTAATATCAGTGGCATAGAATTTTTTTCTTATAAACCGACTAGTCGTGAATAAATTATCAGTTTAAAATATTTCTTCAATTTTAGGGTGTCTATGAACTATCGTATACATATTTAAAGGAGAGGAAGTTGGCCAAAAGTTCGCCCTTGTTCACAGCAGGGAGGGAAGGGGTATAGTGGTTCAAAAACTATACACGTAATTAATGGATGACTCCTAACACGAATTTTTATATCAACATATACATTTGAAACTAAACATTACTATGTATCTACAAATACAGTCGCAGTAAATAAAAATATACTGATACTTAGCTATGAATATAAACGAATTAATAATATATAATTGCAAAATCTAATTTTCTCGGTGACTACCGGTTTACATCGGAAGTTCATGTATAGTTAATAGGGCCTCTTGCCCCTAAGGTTTCCATATCTGGTCCCGGCTTTCATCTATCTAACTCCGTTCTCAAGATTAAGGAATGATGGACGGACGGACATCAATAGAAATTTATAGGTCTACAATTTTTTCACAAATTTGCAGCCCAATAACTGCGATTACAGCCATTAATCAAATATTTAATAAGCGATTTTAGTTGAATGTCTGAAAAATTCAAACTCTAATATAGAAAAAATAATACTTCTTAATAGAGTTTTGAAATTTGATCATTTCAGAGAGATTTGAGACATTTATTCTATTATGAAACAGAATAAATTTTCATTATTTTATCCGTAATATAAGTAGTTTAACTATAGGCACATGGCTAAACACTAGAATATATTAAGAAAAATAGAATTCAAATACAGTCGAACCTCCAATAACGGTCACCTCTAAACAACAAACATAAAAAATTAATCGCGGAACAACGACTAGTTTTTATATTCCTGTCAATGGCCGTTATTCAGAGGTTTAATGAGAATAATTACTGCGTTTTACGTATTCATTAAACTACATAAGAGATTATAAAAGCAAGCCAGTAATAATATAGGCCGAACTTCTTTCATGGAATGTTCGATATTCCATCAGGGGTTCGATCTGGATTTCCGTTCAGGCTAAACTCTGTTCCTCTTCCCAAATAACTATTCTTAGTGAGCAAATTAAAATTTTCTTAAAACAAAACGAGATATAAATTCTAATTATAAAATAATTTTCGTGATATTAGTGATATGTAAATGTAAATAAATTTGCCGGAAATTCGAGTATATATTGATTAAAATCGACTAAAACGCTTCAACTATCTTTAAAGATCGATTTAACGAATTAATTTAGCTGTTTTTATTGAGAATGTAAGAGTAGTTTGTACAGTATTTACCTTACGCACATACAAGTGGGAGTTCTCTCGCATACACCCAAACAAGCCAAAACTTCCGTACGCTCGGGAGCTCTGATGCCATCTTCCACGTCTTGAGTCTGTCCAGCAGTTCTCAGATAGGAAAGAGATAAAGCCGAACACTGCAATAGAAAACATAAATTAGAACTGGTTAAAACCGAGAACCCACGAGGTTGAAAATTACCCGAGAAGCTGGAAAAACCAAGTAAACTAATGTACAGAACACGAACTTCATCTTAGGAATTCTGTACGCCATTTTCTTTTAATGCGTGAAATGTTTTGATGTTTTTAATATAAAGTACGTATCCTGTTGAAGTTGAGGACGAATCTGTCGAACCAAATGCGAATATCGGATTTTTAACTAATTGAAGTAGTTGGTGGCTGATGTTTAATTCATAGGCGATGCCAATTATAGAGAGGCACTCTCCGAAATGGTTGAACGCTCTGGAGCATAACCATCTTGTCGATACGCTTGTCAAATCTGTAATAGTCTCGATCAAAATGATTGCCGACGAAAAAGAAAGCGTGGATGAATTATTGATTATACGCATCTGTTTTCTCTTCCTTAGTTTCGATAAGAGAAGAATTCTTGATTTCTCTGTTTTATGTTGTGGAAGTGTATGGCGCAGGGCGTTGTCTTCTCGTTAATCCTATAACATTTATGACGTTCCACTTAACGATCGTCAAATCTAGTTTTAAAAACTAGATAATTTTCGAATTTTTACACTTAACGTGGTTGGAAATACGTTTATTTTTTCTTTTTTGACAGATAAAACTACGGACTTTTTAAATTAGACGAGCGCTCTTTAATTTTGTAGCTAATAAGAGGTTTCGAGTATCAAGTATGCCATTTAAATTGATAAAATGACGACTATTATTATTCAAAAATAAAAACTGAGAATTAAATGCGTATTCTGTTTTTATTTTTTCGTTTGATTGTAAGTTTACGCACTTTTTTAATATGATACATTGACCATTAAATGTTTTCCTCCCTTTGATTAAAAGAATCTTGATTTGTCGATTCTAAATAAATTTGTGCATTAAAAATGTTTTCTATTGTATTATCTGCTACATTTTCATCGTCATTGTTGAACGTGATATTCTACGCACGTGATTAACAATTAGCCAACGGTAACTTGTGGAATTTATAGAATAATCGATAGTTTTTATAACCTAAATTATCTAGAAATTCGTTTGATATAATCGTCCGTTTTGCCTACTTTTCTGTTTTGTTCGTAACAAGAAAACAAGGTAGTCTCGTTATTGGAGACTAAATTAATCATAGGCAAGCTGAAAGACTTGTATTAGTAGGCTGCCCATATGAACATCTTCAACTTTTATCATTTGATTTCAATATTTTATTAAAATATGTGGATAATACAGCTTTTAATTATAATTTTCTCTATGACAGCAAGTACTAAAACTGGTTTTGGAGAAGTTTGTGGAGGAGAAAATTCAAATTTAAATTTTCGTGGACGATTAAATGTATTTATTGCAATAATATTAGTGATAGAGGGAGAGAGATTGTAAATGCTCTTAAAAATAGAAGAAAATTTCAGAATTTTTTTCGAACAGAACAGTTTTTCAAAGAACTATTCTGTTGTATGTTGGCAAGGCGATCTGCCCAGGGATGATTCCCCGAATGACTTTTATGGGAAACTGGTCCCTATTTAGGTGTTAAAAACGTGAAGAAAACCCGGAAAATTCCACGTGGTCAGCCCACGACCAGTATTAACACCAGTGTTCGGTGATGTTATCCACTAGGCTACTGTTGAGCTATTCGGTTCTTTGAATTATTTTGTTGTTGCAATTTGATGTGAAGCGAAATAATTTAATCATAATTAAAAGACATCAGGACTCTAATTTTATAGAGTTTTAGTATTTTATTACATTTTGGTGGAGTCGTGTGATATAGAAACATCAAGCACTACGAGAGGATTAATTGTGAGAAAACCAAGCAAGTTGCATAGTGGCCTTAAAAAACAGGATATCACCATTCCTCACTAAGTACAAGTAAAGACAATTTTCATTTTATTACACAGTATTTATGTATTTTATTTACTGTTTGTGTTTTAATTTATTATTTGCATTTGTGTTATTTTTACCTTAAATTACGTGTATTTGCTGTTTAAGTTTATCGAAATGGGTATCGTTTAGGATCTGGGAACGGATTAATTCACTTACCATTATTTCTGGAGAATATTGATTCGAACTCCAACGACCTTCTGGAACGAGTTAAATTCGAAGTACGTGGCACCCAGGGCCGGATTAACCCACTTTGGGGCCCTAGACATTTTCTTCTTCCGGGTCCCCTCCCGGCTCTTTCAATTAATAAATCTTGTTACTATTTATTAAATTTCATACGGACACTGCAGCTGCTTTATAAAAAATAAAAGCAAAATTATTTAACAATATTTCACAGGATTTAAGAATACATATAGTTAATATTATTCTTATCGCTATAAAGAATATTCGAAATTATTGGGAGTTTTACTTTCAATAAAAAGAAACATAGGAATACGAGGGTTGTTCAAAAAGTTCCCGAACTTTATTTATTACAAAAACAAAAAAAATACTTCACATACAATTTATTTGTTAGGGTCCCCTTCAATGTAGTCTCCTCCGCAACATATACACTTATTTCAACGGTGTTTCCACTTTTTGAAACATCTTGGAACGCTTTTTCCGGAATGCTGATAAGTTCCTCCGTCGTTTTTTTCTATCTCTGGAATGGTGGCAAATCTTTTTTCTTTGAGCGTGTTTTTTAGTTTGTTGGAGAACAGGAAAAAGTCGCATGGGGCAGGTCAGGTGAGTAGGGTGGGTCAAGGTCTGTATAAGAAGGTCAGGACACGGTCCCGTGATTCTATGCGGCAGCGTCCATTTTGGGACTCATCGATAGAGCTCTCCATACGTGGTTCTTGCATGAGTCGACTATTATTACTTATATACGTACTTAAAACGTTAAGCAATGAGTTATTGTGTTGCACCTAATTGTAAAAGTAAGTCTACCGACGTTCGATTGTTCAGATTTCCTGCAGATAAGCGGAGGAAAGCAAAATGTAGCGTAGGCATCAACTGATGGTTCATGATGCAGTTCAAAGAGTTTATATGTTTAAAGTTTGTAACAAGTGGTCTAAACGAGTAGATACTCTTCGTGTTTATGAACGAACTATACATGGAAATTTATAAACGATATTGGCAATCCAGATATAAAACAAATGTAATTTTTTCATTTTTCTATCTGGTGATAAAATAATTAAGCATGTAATTGTTTTAATATGACCATATTGTATTTAAAAATAAAATTATGATGATGGTATTGACTTATACTCTCAATATTTATTAATAAAACATTGCAAAAAATTTAGTTTAATAGTAATTTATACTTAATTCAATTTAAATAAAATTTACATTAATTTTATTGTCAGAATTTTTATTTTAAAAGACGTGATGGAAATCTAAATGTATCTAATTCTTATAATCTAGAGATTCCATAATATTTAATTGATTTTATTTATATTTAATTTTTTCGTTCGCGTTTCAATAATTATTTTCCACTGATCATTCAAATCTTTTATCCTGAACATTTAAAAACAGATTTTATTTAATTAAAGTAAAATTGACTATTTAATTGTAAAAAAGAAAATTTTAGCATTATTTTGCTATGGCAACAAATATTCATATTTTGTTTGAATATATTGTATTCTATTCAAGTATTATTTGTCAGTTTATTGTCAAATAATTTAATTTAAAATTTTATTTTTGGAATTTTTTGAAAGCTATTTATAAATTAAAAATATATCTACACATCTATTACTTATTATAAAATGAGTATTACATTGACAACATTTATTAATAATACTATTGAATTTTATCTTAATTTTACAGCCAATCGTGCTTTTAAAAAATAATTATAAATTTGTTATATTATTATATTCTTTATTATACTTTAAATTTTTTTTGATGTTATTGCATCACTTTACGAAGTGTCTATATACGTAATTGCATCAGTTTTAGCACCTATTTAATTAGTTTCAATCGCGACAGAAAATGATATAGATGATTGTTTCTTTTAAACTATTTGATCGAAAAGTTACATAAAATTGGGGTTGCGTAATCATCCGAAATTATTATTATATTTTCGACTGAAAATCACTGGATTTATGCAATTTTTGTTTAATTAATGTCGTATAAAACAGACTGCTCATACGAGTTTGCTTAAAACATGCGACGCAAAATACCCCAAAATGGCAGCTCAATAAGTAGGTCACACGTGTCCTGACCTTCTTATACAGACCTTGGGGTGGGTGGGGAAGCTCAGCGGTCTTATTTTTGTCCAAAAACGCGTGTTCTGAGGGACAAATGAGCCGGCGCGTTGTCGTGGTGAAAAAACCACTCGCCGCTCTTCCAAAGTTCGGACCGTTTTCGCCTGATTTTGTCTCTTAGGCGATTCATAACACCAGGTAGTACTCCGTGTTGACTGTCTGGCCTGTAGGTAGGTATTCGTGATGCACAACCCCCTTTGCATCGAAAAAACAGTCAACATCACCTTAATATTTGAGCGAACTTGTCGAGCTGTTTTGGGGCGGGGCTGTTTCACCCACCCGTGGAAAGTTTCCGTGAAGGATTTTCCGAGTTTCACACAGAATTTCACAGAACAACGCTGTTCTTTCAAAGAGCTAATTTTCGCCGAACCCCACAAACACCACTTCACATAAACGGCCGTAGCTAATCACCAAAACAAGATATCAACAAATGGGTTGAAGGAGGTTACTCGGGGGTTTCCGCGGACACAACGCCTCCAAGCGGATTAAAAAAATAACAAACTGGAGGTGCGCTATTCAAAAAGTTCGGGAACTTTTTGAACAACCTACGTACATTTTCTTTAGATTTTAGAATTCACAATAACCATATAAAAAGAAATATATTTTTGTTTTTTGTTTATTATATACTGTTATCCAACAGAAAAGTAAACTACCTTATTTACAAATCTTTTCAAAATAGACAGTTTGACCGGGCCCTAGACATTTGTCTCATTTGTCTATGAGATGATCCGGCCCTGGTGGCACCACTGTACCCGAGAATCAACTATCTAAAACATTTTTTAAAATGAAGTCTAAAACCTGTAATTGTATCTATTATATAAAGTTATAGGCTAATTGCAATAGAAACTTACACTTTACAACAGAATAAATTTTCTAAATATCACTTAGGCTGCGTACACACTAGACGTTTTTAAACGCGCGTTTTATAGAACCAAGAGTTCTACATAAGCGTACACACTCAAACGCGCGCTTTTGGCCAAAAGCGCGCGTTAAACGCGCGTTTATAGATTTTTCTTAAAACGCGCGTTTTACGGGCGTCAGCCGAGCGCTTTGAGATATATGTGCTGCCATGTTACTGTACATTCGATCGCGCGTTTTCGGGTAGAGTGGACGTACGTTGGCCGAAATGGAGAACGATCATTTCGATACTGATCTATTTATTGATGAAATCTAAAAGAGGTCGACCAACCATTGTCAAAGGATTTTATAGATATTTTAAAAGAATTAAAAAACTTGGGTTTATTTTGTCTTAGTTTTGGATACAACG